GTGTGATAGCTGGACAAAGTTGCTGTCATATTCTATATCTTGTCGTATTTTGCATATTGAATGCTCACCGCGTCAGATTGCAACGTCGCAAGGAAGGCCGTATAAATCTGCCGAAACCTCCTTGCCAAAATGCTATAATACTCTTATGCTCACTTTCTCTATGCGTTATTCTCTGGTAGGATATAATAATTAACTTTGTCGTTGATTTTCCCAACACTTTTGTCGTTTACACAACTCGGCCGAGTTGCGTTCCCACCAAACTTCGGTGCCTCGGCTCCTTCAATACCTACCTAATCGATAGTGGCATCTCGTAGTAGAGCTTTGAACTTTTCAAGGGGAGCAACTATCTTCAGGGCCTTGGACACTCCCTACTCACGGCATCCTCGGCGTTCGTCACAGGCTCCCTTGATTGGCAATTCTCGGTGGCACGACATTGGGCAGGTTTTAATTAACCGTGTTCGGTTGAGATAAATACCGGGTGAATCCCATCCTTCCAATCCCTTAGGGTTGTCGCAAACACCACAATCGCTCATCATGGCTGGCGCAAATAAGAAAATGTTTGGGCTTTCCCATGTGGTCCCTGTCATCATGCCTCTCGTTCTAGGCTCTGCTGGATATGCTGCCTATCGGGTCAATTGGGGCCCTCTGATCAAGGCTTTCCTCACAGGTCCTGGCCGGACATCGCGGATCCTGTTGCTGCTGTTTGTTGTCTTCAACTGGAAGAGCATGCCCTTTGCTTGGACTGTAAGTCTCAATGGTCTCTCCTGGCTTTGGTATAACGCCCTGACACTCTATAGTACCGAGTCTTCTACGTGATCTTCTACCATACCTTCTGGCGCAAATCGCCAAATCTTGGACCCGAAGCCCTCTTCAAACCCATGATCTCTACCACCCACGCCCCTCTTCTCGAGATTGACTACAACTTCCACAAGTCCAATTCGACCTATTTCGCCGATCTCGATGTCTCACGATCTCACCTTGTTACATATCTCTGCCGCGCATCCTATATCACACTCGCCCAAAACACCAAGACGAAGATTGTCCTAGATCCCAAGACCGATAAGCCTATCAAGGGTCAGATGAGCATCATACTTGGTGCTGTCGAGTGTAGCTTCAAGCGCGAGATCCCTGCGTATAAGAGCTTCGAGATGTGGAGTCGCATTCTATGCTGGGACCGCAAGTGGTTATACATCGTGACACATTACATCCCCAAGGGAGCTGCTAAGCCAACTTCATGGCTTGACCCTACGTTCAAGAAGGTTTCTGCGCGAGGCCCTCAAGATGCTGCTGGCGGGTGGGAGAAGAAGATATATGCTACGGCCATAAGCAAGTACGTTTTCAAGTTGGGTCGCTTTACTGTGAACCCTGCTATCATGCTTGGTGGCGCCTCTGGTCTACTACCTGAGCGACCTGGAGGTTGGACATCTGGTGAACAGCAACTCGGCGATCTTTCTGCTGATGTCTCAGATGTGGACTTGGATGTCCCTGGAGAATGGGATTGGCGACGTGTCGAGGCGCAGCGACGTAAGGGTATGGAGTATGCAAAGCACTTTCAGGAGCTCGATAACTTGCATGACTTGTTTGATGGAGGCAATGAAGGCGCACTTGGCAAGTTCACACCCTAAATCAAGCGAGGGAGAATGTGTTAGACCAGACAAAGTTGGATAAATAGAACTAGAGCATATACGTGGGCACAACCCATCCTTAGATATCAGGGTTGTATAGAAGGATCGTCAGAGGCTAGAAGGGAATCAGGGTAGCATCTCGAGAGCTTCATCGGCAGGCACTTTCAATGAATATATGACGCTTGAAGACAGCATCCAAGACTACCAAGGCGTCGACTAGAAGATCATGAGAAAATCTCTCCGTCCGTTATCCCAGCTTCAATACATTGTTCAGTCGAACATACGGAAGGACAATACAATATTTTCAAATAGGCTACTTTGCAAATCGTCCATAAGAAAGTATTGTAGGCCGGCTCCATTGAACACGAGGCCAAAGGCCTCGCAGCCTAGACCAAGTTCAATATCACATCGAAACGTTAACAGTCAAAATTACAGCTACTATCTATCTTGGCATCGACATCCGTTCCCTAAACGAGAAGTTTGAAGTTTTTCAGTTGACATAATTTGGTGGTCCACAACGTCAGATTTTCTGACTCGGTGCTTGACTCTATGTTTGGTCATCATCATAAAAACTTCAACCCATCTCATCCAAGTTCAGGTCTCTCCCAAAGAAGGGAACTTCCAGCGAAGTTTAGAGTGTAAAAAAGGAAAAGACCGTCACCCAAAGGTCGACGGGATGCCGGCCCCTCGCATCAAGAATGAGCCCCATCGAGTAACTCAGCTTTCGCCGAGCAATCGCATACCTATCAATCTCGACAACAAATCCTCTGCGACCCGGTACCACACGCGCGAGCACCAAGCGTCTACCAACCATCAACCTGCCAGACGACTCGTCTGTCTCGAACCCCACCAATCTCTCGGCAGCGGACTCATATCTTCATCCAAGAGGACCGAGAGCGGCAGAGAACGCGATTCAGAGCCTTTAACAAACTGATGTAGCGGAGGGCAGGGCCGGTGCAGGACGCGGGCCTGGGTGCAGAAGTCAGCCGCAGTGCTTCTATGGCGGCGCGTTTCCGCAAGCTCCGTCGAAACGAAGATGTCCGGGGACTTTCTCCCAAAGCCAGAATGAATGCGAGACGCTACGATAAATCGCAATGTCTCTGTTTGTAAGCTTCGAATGGCGATTTTTTGAGCGAGGGGCGCGGATGAAGAGAAGAAAGAAGAAGGAAAAATTGTCTCCAGCTCAAGCTGAATTTTTATGCACGAAATGGGGCTGAATTGTGGCGTCATGAATCAGAGCTCCTTGATGTGGCTGTACCTTAGCTTGCTGCCTTTTTTTGTCCGACGCGGGTTGGCCAATCCGAACTTCGCGTTGAGAAGGCTGGGCCGCTGCCTTCGTGCCTGTTTATTCATTCTCAGTACAAAGCTCGCGGCGCAACTCGTTTCAACAGTGTAAACATCCATCCATTCTCTAAAGGCCTGTTTTTCATCTGAGATCAGTCGCGTAGCCAGTTGGAAGCTTCGCTCATAAGCCACTTGTTTTGAGTCTCAGGAGTGGGATCCCAAAGGCAAAAGACAGAAAAAGGGCCACCGACTGGCTCTCAACTTTCTCTCCTTCAACTCACCGCAAACATGTCAACCCTTTTTGGCGGTGCTTCGGCCGCAGCAACGACAAGCAACACTGTAGGCGACCTCAAGCAAGACGTCGCGCTCTCTGACCCCCCTACCGATACCATCTCCGACCTTTCCTTCTCCCCTGCGCCAAACGGACCTGACTTCCTCGCCATCTCCAGTTGGGATAACAAGGTTCGCATTTACGAGATTGCCGCCAATGGCCAGAGTCAGGGTCGACACGCCTACGAACACAGTCAACCTGTGTTGAATTGCGACTTCTCCAAGGTACGAAGACGTAATGATCGACCGAAACGAAATAGCAACTAACTGGGTTTCTAGGATGGAACAAAGGTCGTTTCTGCCGGCGCCGACAAAAACGTTAAGGTCTGCGATCTTGCCTCCCAGCAGGACGCCGTTATTGGCACACACGACCAGCCAGTGCGAACATGTCGATTTTTCATGAACGATGGTAACCCCATGGTGGTTTCGGGCTCATGGGATAAGACGATCAAGTACTGGGATCTTAGACAACAGGGACCTGCGGCAACCGTACAATGTCAGGAGCGAGTTTATACGATGGACGTCCGCGATAATCTTTGCGTTGTCGGCACCGCCGATCGATACATCAATGTTATTGATCTCAAGAACCCTACCAAATTCTATAAGACCCTGCAGAGCCCTCTCAAGTGGCAGACTAGGGTGGTTAGCTGCTTTACAGACTCAGCTGGTTTTGCTATCGGTAGTATCGAGGGTCGTTGCGCTATCCAATACGTCGAAGACAAGGACTCAAGGTAAGAAGCCTCTCGAATACGAATCTCTTAACCGGCTCAGACTAACAAATTGCAGCTCTAACTTCTCTTTCAAATGTCATCGCGACCCCCCAGCCAACAGCGTCACCAATGTCTATGCCGTCAACGACATTTCTTTCCACCCTGTTCATGGCACCTTCAGCACTGCTGGTTCCGATGGAACATTCCACTTCTGGGACAAGGACGCTAAGCACCGTCTCAAGGGCTACCCTAACGTTGGTGGCAGCATCACTTCTACAACCTTCAACAAGAATGGTTCCATCTTCGCCTACGCTGTAGGCTACGACTGGTCCAAGGGCTACCAGCACAACACTCAGAACTATCCTATCAAGGTGATGCTGCACCCTGTCAACCAGGACGAGTGCAAGCCCAGACCATCACTCAAGAAGCGATAAAGGATCACACGAATATCAAGAGGACGGACTATAGGGGAGGGAATGTATTTCGTTGGCCGATTAATAGTTAGTTGCGATTATGTACTGTAACACAATTGGTGAAGACTCCAAGATTGATAGGAAAGGGCCGAAAAGGATGGACCGTTGCGTTTGGACCAAAAGAGCAAGGCAATGCAGGTGGTGGTGTTTACGAGAGATGATACCATAGATGCAATAAAACATCAACACAAACCTGGCATAGTATCCAATGCATTCAACCTCACACATGCCAGTATATGGTAACGCCAGGAGATGAGTCAGTAGGCTTGTGGACGAATATGTCGATGATATGGCAGTCATTGTTCACAGATATAAAGCTTGAGTTGCAAGGATAACAAAGGATCGGTATTGATTCCAGCCTGCCAATTGGGCTTTCACTTTATCATTGTGTATCGATGTATAAAAAAAAGGATGGTTCTTAGCCACAGGAGCCTCTTGTAACGGGCTATTAATTGATGCAACCGCACCTTGCTTCGCAAAAACTGATTAAAACGCTTAATAAATCATCAGCTCTCTTTATGAGTAGCTGGTATAACCAGACTCCGCCCTATCGTCCCTTTCGTGTTTTCACTTGATTCTTAATTTTTGCTGAGCGTGCGTCCAGGAAGAATATCTTGAATCATGCCGCCGAAGACGTCTTTGAGAAAGGTACTTCGGTCAGAGTCGTCTGCCTTTGGTTCCTGAGCAGGCTGCTCATGAACAAACTTGACGTCGACGCTGTCCATGTTGATGGCATCCATGGTAGCCATGGGAGCACCGGGAACGACGACATCAGGGTCAACAGCGAAGATGACGGGCCGCTTGCTATACAAGTCGGCGGCATCGGACATTGAGCTGTGGTAGGCGCCATAGTTGTCAGGGAGAAGAGGCATACGAGGGAGAGGCTCATTGAAGTTGGGGGTAGCGTGAATCTTGGGCAAGACTGTGCTGTCGACGTGGTTGACAGGAGCGCGAGAAGGTGTTGAGGAATGGAAGCTTTGCATCAGTGGCCTTCGGCGACCAGAAAGAGATGGCTGAGGAGTAGGGCGGTGGGTAGTCTTTAGACCACGGGACTGCAAGGACTGTTAGTACCAGAGCTGCAATGACTAATTGGAATAGTAGAAACTCACCTCAGAGTGCTGGGACTGCTCTGAAGAAGCTCCGAGGAGCTCGGCATACTTGGGCATGAGAGCGATACCGGCATGGCGCTGAGACTCAGCCAGAGAGCGAGTGAGCTTTGAGACGGGAGCGGTGATTCTAGGCATTGCGACTGAGTTGTATGTGATAAAAGACAGAGGTTTGTTATGGTGGTAGCAGGGTGTTGGCGGTGTCCAGCTACTTATATGTTTGGCGTAGTAGGTATGGATCTGATGGAGTGTGGTTGGTAAGGTAAAGTAGTGTACGGATAGCGGTGACCAAGTCTAATCAGGCGATGAGAAGAGTGGAGGGTCCACGGATGCAATGGATAGATGATACAGGCAGGCACAGGTATAAGTGGAAGCAATTGGATGGTTCAATTGGAGGGAGGGAAGGAGGGTTTATGTATGTATCCCAAGTGTGACTGAGACCACCTCACAGGTAAGATAAGCTAGAGGAGGGGGAAGGCGGGAGGGAGCTTCTGGTAGCTTGACCTCAAGGTGAAGCAAGCGCGGATGCTTGTCCGGGAGGCCCGTGTGATCTGGGGATGGAATGAGCAACAGCAACCGAAACAACAACGGGGTTGAGGAAAGACTCACTCACAGCCTCCACACCTCATCCTTGGAACTTGGAAGGTACGGTACCAATCCCGCCCTGTTAGCTCACCTTATTTTAGCGACTACAGCGTTGATCCCGCTGAAAGGTACTACCTAATGGAGTGTGGAGAGCAGGTACAAGTCGGAGGCTGATGTTGCTTCTGATAGAGCCGAAACAGAAATAAGGGTTGTGTCAAACAACTCTCACCCTGCAGCACATCCATTCTAGGTATTGTAACGATTGACGAGCTTTCAAATGGCCATCTTCGCTGCGAAACATCACGGTATCAGAAACCTCTAAATATATCTCTGCCGCTTCGTTGCAAACAAACAATCGAATATTAGCAGCAGCACCAAAATCAGCAAGGATATGAAGCAATGACCATACCATAATATCATGGCAGTTCCCGACTCGGCGACGAAGTACCGAATGCCGCCCGGTGCAAACAAGGTCCCGTCATGCAAGTGGCACATCATTAAACACATGTTGAGATCCAATCAACTGCCTTGAAATGGTACAGGCTACTACGGTACAGTATTGTATTGTACTTAGCATTCACCGTACTCGCCAGCTCATGGGGAGGGTATCACTGCGTTACTGGTCTCCCATCAAACCTCACGATAGTTAGCCGTCTCCAGCTTTCGTTCTACTGAGAAATTGGGTCCATGATCCACCCCCGGGCTGGAAAGGAGGTAACTATGGGGCTTCTTCAAGTCGATTTCCAGCTCATCAATCATCAAGAGAGTAGAGTTGAGGTTGAGGCAACCAGTTAGAGGTGCCGATCACAAAGCTACCCTGTGCTTGGCTCAGTGTTTTGTGATGAGATAACAGTATCAGATCAGAGGAACAGTGGCGCCAACTTACGACAACTTTAGATACTGTGTGCAATGCATACCAATGCTATGCAAAGAGTGTCGTAATGTGCCGCCGGAAGAATCGACATGGCACCATCCTCACAGCCTCCAAAACCGTCACTACAACGAAACAGATGCGTGGGTGGAACTCGTTGAGCTTGGCTACGTACTCTATCTCCGGTGCTGTAACTTTAGGTGGGACAAGGGTCTATAGAACAGAACAACGCCGCTTTAACACCCCCTGCCTTTAACTCAACCTTTCACCTACAGCCAACAAATGCCAATGGCTGCTGACGAGTCTCGGCAGGGGACCTCTGATCTGACGCACGTGGACTGTGCCTGTCGCTCTCGAGATCGCCATTCTTTGAACCAATTGTTGATCTAGCATTAACAGGGCGGTCAGAAGCCAGCTGTACTGAATACACTGTTTTGAAGACGCCTCTTATGGTTACGCGTCGATCATTCTGCTGTTAAGTTCGGAACCCGAGTATACAAGGCCTAGTCTTAGTCAATCTGGCTGCGATATCATACAAGCTCTTGAAATGAAGCCAGCCACTGACTACTTTCCGCTTCGCGTTTCTGACTACGTATAGATCACGCTGATCGTGCAGCTTAAGGCGGCATGGTAGGGGATTAGTGTATGACAGTGCGGCACTGAGCAAGGCCTGAAGAGCGGGAGACGACCCGTGACACCCCCAAGCTGTCAGTGAACAGGGAGTCAAACGTCTCCTGGTCCACTTCTAGAAACCCGCCAACTCAGTCGGTTGCTCAAAGGTCGGAAGTCCCCCTTGGGCCGGGGAGACAGAGCGGACTCCGTAAAAAGATACACCTGGTTTGGGCTTTCTACCGGCAATTACTCCATACTTGATCCCTTTCTTGCGGACTGAGATCTTGAATTGCCTCGGCTCAGAGCACGGAAAACCTCCGACGTCAGAGATTCGGCATTCAATATTTTCAGATGAAGGATCTGGAAGTCACAAGAACTGATCAGGGCCAAGAGCAAGCACAGTCGAGACCAAGACTGCATCTTGCTCCTGGGTCCTGAGCTGACCCATGCATAAGCTGAAGACCGTGTGAATATTGGGATTCGCGCGCGTCTGAGTTTGTTGAGCTGCGCTGGCGGCTGATTTCAGTTGCACAGTTTGGATTCCAGAAGGAGTTCTTGAGCCAAATCCAAATGAGACAGAGCTAGAACCTAGACCACAGGGGCTTAAACCAGGGGGCGATTGGTATTGTTGGAATTATGGCGGCGCCGGTCAACAAAAATTGTTGAACGGGGCCTGCCTCCAAATCTTCCTCACCTTGTCCTCACCGTAAGAGCTAGGGCCCCTAGTTCATCATGGATGGCTGTGACCTGGACACCGCCATGTGCTTGACCGAAAACATAGGCGATTGGATTTCCTCCCGTTCTTCAAGATACACGATTACGAGTTGATTCAGGGGCTGATACCAGGAGGTCATGACGACGCTCAACAAAAATAGACACAGTATTATATCTTGAACAGAAACAAGATCTGCCAATCAATCTGCGGCTGTATGTGTTATCTCGAAACTTTGTCTTTGGTCGTCAATGTCAAGGACTAGCTATGAACCCAAATATGAGATAACAGCTAGAGGTTGCCGGGATACGATATCAGTCTCTCGACGTCGAACTGCAGTCTATCAGTTTCTTTACATGGGAGGGCTTATCTTGTGTTGGTGGAGGTCATCGCTGCACCTAATTGCAGGCTAATAAAGCCCAAGATTGTTTCAGTAGGGACTGTAATGACCATGGACTTGACTTATTGTCGTCAATGACCATGGCAGGCCGACATAGGACATTCATCGGACATATGGCAGCTCTCTTGATCTCGGTATAGGTCACTGGAGTCCCGGACCTCGGCTTGTAGCCGAAGGTCAATGAAGAACAGTCCAGGAAGAACATGACGGACATGATGTCCGATTCGGAAGATAAATTACGGAAGAGTCACATCTGATACTCATGAGCTGTGGTATGATGGCACTGGACCCCCACAGGGTATGATGAAAGTATCCGAGGTTCGATCAAGACGTGGCAGCTTGAACTACATACTACCTAAACCCATGTCATGTCGATTGATTGATTGATTGATTGATTGATTAGATCCAAACTTTGTGCCTTGCATCTGCTTTGCATACGCGAAACTCTCTACAAATCTTATGAAAACGACAATAACCACATCCTTCAAGTGAAGGAAGACATGATGGTATTGGCTCCTGATTATTTGCAGGATCTGTGATTCTACATTTTCTTCTCCAATCGAGGCTACAGACTAGATCGTCAATGGCGTCACTCAGGAACCCCAAAATGCCCCGCCATCGTCAGGTACAGCATCTAAATTTGGGACATCGACGACTCATGATATGCGCCTTTTTGTGCACAAGATTGGGAGAATATGACTTCTAAGTAGAAGAGACTCCAAATAATCTGCTCTTTTCACGCTTTCATTGAAACCCGGTGTCTTTTTCCGTTTCACAAGGAGAATAGTTAGACTGCTGCTTATCAATTTTCGAGTCTGCTACTTATTACCCCTCCCCGCTTCAACCAACTCTTGCGATATCGCTTGGAGGAAATACACAACAACAGACCTTTCCAGGACAAATCTTCAGGCTTCGCAAGATGGCAGACTCAGAATCCCGGAAACGAGCTGTCGACTCGCCCAAAGGTAAAGAGGCTAATAAACCATGCGTAGCACAAGTTCTAACTTAGAATCTCAGTCTGGACGAGTCTTATCACGAACCTGGACTACTTGTCTGGTCTTCTCACCCTCGAACATTCTCTCCGCGCCGCCAAATCTCGTTACCCTCTTGTGGCATTGTATACCGATTCATTCCCCCCTGAAGGTCACGCAGCTCTCCGTGCTCGTGGCATTGCCTCTCAGCACATTCCATACTTGCTGCCAACTAAAGGCAAGGATTACTCCAACGACCCGCGGTTCTACGATTGTTGGAGCAAGCTTGCGCCTTTCTCTCTGACCGAATATGAGCGTGTCGTCCAACTCGACTCGGACATGCTTGTTCTGCGCAATATGGACGAGCTGATGGATCTCGAGCTGGACCCTCCTTCGATTGCTGAGACTGGCGATAAGACCGTCAGCAAGCGTGTCTTTGCAGCCGGTCATGCCTGCGTATGCAACCCCCTCAAGAAGCCTCACTACCCGAAGGACTGGATTCCTGAGAATTGCGCATTTACCTCACAACACTTGGATCCCGATGCTGCGCAAACTGAGGCTGCTGATCCGTCGGTCGGACCCTTGGGCTTTATGAACGGTGGCTTGCAGGTCGTTAATCCTTCTCAGGGCCTCTATGCGCAAATTCTGGCGCATATGGAGGCCGACGCCGCCAATATGGATTTTGCAGACCAGTCACTGCTCTCGGACTTGTATCGTGAGCGATGGGTTCCTTTGCCGTACATTTACAACGCGCTCAAGACGCTACGATGGAAAGGAGTCCATGATGCTATTTGGAAGGATGAGAGTGTCAAGAACATTCACTACATCCTAAGTCCTAAACCCTGGAATGAGGTTAATGAGAAGGGTGAGTGGACAGGTAAAGAAGAGAGCCACAAGTGGTGGGTTGATGCGAACCGTGTCAGAAAAGCGTTGGAGAAGGAGAAGGGAGTTCCCGACGACGGCTTTTAAGGTGTTTGGGACAGCGAG